AAAAGCAAAATTAAAAGGTTCAATAGTTTACTTCAATTTAAACAGCTTTCTGATTTATTACAGTAAATACTGTCAAAATACTTATGTTAGATATATATGGATTATAGCAAATAAAATATTTCAAAAATCAGTACATTAACAAGGATATCATCAAACTTATAACTAAATGAATTTTAATTCTGTACTAACTTATCAGTTTGTATCTTTACAGAAATTGCTTCAGTCTTATGGTTAAAAACCTTAATAAGAGATGAGCAGTAAAAACAAAACTATGGTAGCAGCATTATCAGATGAACTTTTAAACGTTTCATTTTCTTTGCAAAGATGACCAGCAGAAAGTCAAATCTGAAAACCTAAAAAAAGTAAATCTTAACTACTTATAGAGCTTTTTAAAACAAAGTTATAGTTTTTGCACTCAGACTAGTTTTCTTTGTACAAGTAGAATTTTTAAATAAACACATTTTTAAACTTTGGTGAAAACAAGAACCACTGAAGAACAGGACAAAATGGTCAACAAACAGGTAGGGCTGGAATAAACTCAGTGGCAGGAGACTGAGTTCACATTAAATCAGGCTAGCTCTGTTCCTAGAACACAGAAATTGCTCCATTATGTGGTTTAGCAGAATATGAGCAAGTTGCTTTCAGGATGAATTATGGACTTACAAAGCAAAAGGTGAAACATTTCTAAAATGCATTATATCTACAATGTATGATTTCTGGCACAAAGATTATGAATATAAGCAGATAAAATCATTAGCTCAAGAAACTTATAGGAATCAAGGAGAGAACTGGAAATAGAATTCAAGAGCCCTCTGGGCTATATTCCTTTCTAAGAGATCTTTGAAAATATACTTCTCTTTCTGACCATGTAGAGTAGCAACAGAAAGTTCAAACAACAGGAGTAATGCATCATAAGGCTTCCCTTGGAATTGCCTAAGCTCTCTGGAATTTCACAGTAGCATTGAGAGTTACAGTGAGAAGATAAAATTCTGATGGCTTTTAAAATTCAGCATTTCAGATTTTAAAAGAAATCTAAGTTCTGTCTCAGACAAACTAAATGTAGTTATATCCCCCTTCTCTCTCCTAAAGACACAGGACTTACGCCATGAGACTGGGAGACTGTTCAGCAGAGTATTTCCCTAAAGTCCTATATAGCCTCTAAATGTTTACCTGGGGTTATCTGAGAGTCGAAGGTAACATCTCACTACATGCTTCAGCAGACGGGCAGAAGGCTCTTTGGACAACTGCAGGACCATCTTACCCTGTTTCCCCCCAAATAAAGGGAGGGGTTGGAAAAAACACACAAAACACAAAAATATTCTAATTGACATCAGAAATCAGATAATCCAAGAATCATACAAGGTTCCAAAATTGTTATTTCTAGTTGGAAGACTGGAGTTGTTCAGTGCCAGTTATAAAGAGATTAAACTGTGTGATGAGAAGTAGTTGTAAAGGGAATAGATCAAAGAACTCACCAAGATCATGGCAACATGGGAGAAACGCTCATATGTCTGACATATATAAGCCAAACCAGTGTCATCTAACAAGATCTTCTGGAGGATGAATGTGGCAACCTGAAGCAAAACAAAATCAAAGAGTTTATAAAGTTGCTCCGATTTATCTTCTCATTGCCCCAGGCATGACTTTCAATCAGAAAATTGAGCAAGCAGGGACCCTTGTATGTTACATACAACTTTATCGTATACATATAGTACAAATAATAAATATTACCATAGTGAACATTACTTTGTGCCAGTTTTTTTCCCTAGAGGCTTTACATACTTTATCTTTTTATAATCAATCGATGAGGTAGGTACCATTATTAATATTTTACATACAAGGGTAGGTTCTGGGTAATTATCAAATTCTGAAAAACTCAGAGATCACCTGGGCGCAGTAGCTCACTCCTATAATCCCAGCATTTTAGGAGGCTGAGGAGGGTGGATCACGAGATCAGGAGTTCGAGACTAGCCTGGCCAATATGGTAAAACCTCATCTCTACCAAAAATACAAAAAAATTAGCTGGATGTAGTGGCATGTGCCTGTAATCTCATCTACTCAGGAGGCTGAGGCAGGAGAATCACTGAACCCGTAAAGCAGAGGTTGCAGTGAGCCCAGATCAGGCCACTGCACTCTAGCCTGGGCAGCAGAACAAGACTCTGTCTCAGAAAACAAAACAAAACAAAACAAACAAACAAAAAGACAAAACTCAGAGGCCTTCTCATTTATTGAGTACCTACTATGTGCCAGGTATAATGGTTAATCAATAATGCACTAGGTTAAGGTCCCAAGTGACAAAGCTACTAAGTGGCAGAGCTGAGATCCAAGCCACGTTTGGTATCTAAGCGTCTTCTCTTTTCCATAGGCCAAGACGATTTTAGAGATTCAGCTATGCCTCATCTCTTCCAGATGAGTTAAGACCTTTCCTGCTCTGAAAAGATCTTTAAGGCCGGGTGTGGTGGCTCAGTGAGCCTGTAATCCAAGCACTTTGGAGGCCAAGGCAGGTGGATCACCTGAGGTTGGGAGTTCAAGACCAGCCTGACCAACATGGTGAAACCCCGTCTTTAAAAAAAAAAAAAAAAAAAACTTTAAGATTTTTAAGCTTCTCTTTGATTATTCCAATAGTAATAAAAAATATCCTGACTGTGAAGCTTATATCTAGCCTAAATTTTTCCCTCAACTTAAGCCCGTTAACTCTTATATAGAAGAAATATTAAGACATTAATTCAAATCAGACAGTCATGATAACGATACTCTTACTTGGCTGCTCATCAGAATGAATTATGGAATTATTTTACTATTTTATTGGGGTTAAAACACTGTAGTGGGCTGAATAATACTCTGCAAATGTTACCTTAAATCAAAAAAGGGACTTTGCAGATGATTAAGTTAAGGATCTCAAGATGGGGGATTATCCTGGTTTATCCAAGTAGGCCTTAAATGTAACCACGAGTGTCCTTAAGAGAGATGTAGAGAAGGCCAGGCAAAGTGGCCCATGCAGGTAATCCCAGCACTTTGGGAGGCCAAGATGGGAAGACTGCCTGAGGCCAGGAATTCAAGGATGCAGTGTTATGATCATGCCACTGCACTCCAGCCTGGGCGACAGAGCAAGACCCCATCTCTTAAAAAAAAGAAAGAGAGATGTAGGGAGAGATTTTACCACAAAGGAGAAAGCAATGTGATGAGCAGAGAGAGATCTGAACATGCCACACTGCTGGCTCTGAAGATGGTGGGGGATGGAGGGATGGGACCATAATCCAGGGAATGTAAGAAATGCTGTTCTAGAAGCTGGAAAAGGCAAGAAAAAGACTCTCCATTATATCCTCCAGAGAAAGCATGACCCTTCTGACACTTTGACTTTAGGTAAGTGAAACTCATTTAGAACTTGGGACTTCCAAAACTGTGAAACAGTAAACTTGTATTGTTTTAAGCCACTAAGCTTCTACCTTGTGGTAACTTGTGAACAGCAGGAGCGTATACAGGAACTGAATATAAACATATACACAGAAGTGTGTTAAGTGCACTAATATTAAGTATACCTTGATGAATTTTTACCTATGTACACATTTTGTACTATAACCAGATTAAAATACAGAATATTTGGGAGGTAGAGGCAGGCGGATTGCTTGAGCTTAGGAGTTCAAAACTAGCCTGGGCTACATGGCAAAAGCCCATCTCTACTAAAAATACAAAAATTTGTTCGGTATGATGGTGGGCACCTGTAGTCCCAGGTACTCAGGAGGCTAAGGCACAAGAATTGCTTGAACCTGGGAGGTGGATGTTGCAGTGAGCCAAGATCATGCCATTTCACTCCAGCTTTGGTGAAAGAGTGAGACTGCTTCAAAAAGAAAAAAATAATATTTCTACCAACTCAGGATTCCAGCATCCCCTTGTACCTTTCTCCAGTCAATGTCCTTCCCTCAGAGGTAACCACGAATCCAACTTATTGCCAGTAATTGGCTTTGTTTGCTCTTCACATAATCAGCATACAGTATGAATTCCTATGTGTCTGGCTTCTTTTGCTCAACAATGCTTTTGAGAGTCATTCATATAGTGTATATTTAAAATAAAAAATTTTAAAACAGGTAGGTATAGGGATGTATGCCAGTATCACAGCTACCTACTCAAGAGAGTAAAGTGGGAAGACTGCCCAGGAGTTCAAGGCTACAGTGTGCTATGCTCATGCCTGTGAATGGCCACTGCATGCCAGCCTGGGAACCATAATGAGACCTCATCTCTTTAGAAACAATAAATTGGCCAGCCACAGTGGCTCATGCTTGTACTCCTAGTACTATGGCAGAAGGCGGGAAGATCCTTTGAGCCCAGGAGTTGAAAGAGTAGCCTTGGCAACATGAAGACCCTGCCTCTACAAAAAATAAAATTAGCTGAGTGTGGTGGAGCAGGCATGTGGTCCCAGGTACTTGTGAAGCTGAGGTGGGAGGATCAACTGGGCCTGGGAGGAGGAGGCTGAAGTGAGCCATGCCTCTGTACTCCAACCTGGGTGAAAGAGAGAGATCCTGACTCAAAATAAATAATTAATTAAAAATTTAAAAACTAGGCTGGGTGCAGTGGCTCATGCCTGTAATTCCAGCACTTTCAGAGGCCGAGGTGGGAGGATCACGAGGTCAGGAGTTCAGACCAGCCTGACCAACATGGTGAAAGCCTGTCTCTACTAAAGGTACAAAAATTAGCTGGGCTTAGTGGCACGTGCCTATAATCCCAGCTACTTAGGAGGCTAAGGCAGGAGAATCACTTGAATCTGGGAGGTGGAGGTTGCAGTGAGCCGAGATCACACCACTGCACTCCAGCTTGTGTGACAGAGCGAGATTCCATCTCTGTCGCCCAAGGAAAAAAACCCAAAAAGTCCGGGCGTGGTGGCTCACGCCTGTAATCCAAGCACTTTGGAGGCCAAGGCAGGTGGATCACCTGAGGTTGGGAGTTCAAGACCAGCCTGACCAACATGGTGAAACCCCATCTTTAAAAAAAAACCCAAAAAACTAGTGCTTGCTTAGACAGCACATATGTTAAAATTGGGACAATACAGAGAAAATTACTATGGCCCTTGTGTGAGGATATACACAAATTCATGAAGTGTTCTATGTATATATTTAAAGTTAAAAAGCCAAAAAATTATTATACCCGCTTACACCCAACTCAGGAATATTTATTAGACTAAAAAAGTAATTCAATATGATGAGGCACATTTTAGAGCAGAGGTTGAATACTGCCGAAAACAGTCAGCAATATGGAAAAGTAACCTTGAAAAAAAATCAAATAATATGAAATTTAAAAATTGAAAGTGATTAAAAAAAAATATGAAAGATAGACAATAGAGCATAACTGATGTTGCTGAACCAAGAGTCTTGAACAAATAAAAGAGAAAAATATACAAATTAACAAAAAAAGACAAAAACAGACAAAAGTAATGTACACTTTCAGAAAAAAATTGAGGCTGGGTGCAGTGGCTCAGGCCTGTAATCCCAGTACTTTGGGAGGCTGAGGTGGGAGGATCATCTGAGGTCAGAAGTTCAAGGCCAGCCTGACCAACATGGCGAAACCCCATCTCCACTAAAAATACAAAAGAAATTAGCAGGGAGTGGTGGTACATGTCTGCAGTCCCAGCTACGAGGGAGGCTGCGGCTGGAGAATTGCTTGAACCAGGGAGGTGGAGGTTACAGTGAGCCAAGATTGCGCCACTGCACTCCAGCCTGGGGAACAGAGTGAGACTCCATCCAAAAAAAAAAAAAAAAAAAAAAAGATATTATGTTGTCATTCACGGTTAACATACACAGTAAGCAGAAGCTCAAGTACATATAATTGATTATGAATTTTAAAAAAGCCTGGTTACAGAAGGAGCAGGATTGAAATTTCAAAATTAAAAAAATTAAACTGGAATAATACACTTAGAATTTACCTGTGGAGTGAGATGTAGGTTTGGAGAAAAGAAATTTAGTGTTTAACTTAATTTTTCCTCTGAATGGTTTGGGTTTTTCAATAACTGTTTTATAACAATTTTTACTCAAAAGCAAACAAATATTCACACAAATTTCAAAACCTTGAAGACAGAAAATGATCGCAGGACCACAAGGAGTCAACACAATGTAAAATCTAAGTTAAAAAGCACATACTGTTTTAGAAAGTTCACTTCCAGATTCCATAATTCGCAAACATAAAGGGATAATTTCTGTTGTCAATAAAAAGTTGATTACTTCTTGTTCATCTGTTTTCACCAGGGCCCCTAAAGAAAATATAGACAAACAAAATTATTTTACAGTCAGGGTTTCCAGTTAAAATTAACTTTGCAGTGTTTATCCAGTGAGTTGTGGAACTTAAATAACATAAAACACAAACTGGGGTTTCTTAGTTAAGGGGATCAGATTCACACTCATGTTAAAAAAAAAAAAAAAAAGAGGAAGAGGGCAGCATGGTGGCTCACACCTGTAATCCCAGAACTTTGGGATGCTGAGGCAGGTGGATAACTTGAGGTCAGGAGTTCAAGACTAGCCTGGCCAACATGGTGAAACACTGCTTCTACTAAAAACACAAAAATTAGCCAGGCATGGTGGCAGGCTCCTGTAATCCCAGCTACTCCAGAAGCTGAGGCAGGAGAACTGATTGAACCTGAGAGGTTGCAGTTAGCTGAGATCACACCACTGCACTCCAGCCTGGACAACAGACACTCACTCTCAAAAACAAACAAACAAACAAACAAACAAAACAAAAAAATGCTTTCTGCACTAAATTGTCTTTGTACCTTTGTCGAAAATCAACTGACCATGTATGTGTGGGTCTATTTCTGGACTCTTCATTATGCTCCAATGGTTATTCTGTAAATCTTTTTTTTCCCTAATATAATACTGCTTTGACAACTACAGTTTTCTAGTAGGTCTGGAAATCAGGTAATATATGTCTTCCAACTTTGTTCTTTTAAATAAATGTTTGGCTTTCCATATTAATCTTAGGATCAGTCTATTAGAAGGCTGCCATAACAAAATACCATAGACTGGTAGGTTAAAAAATTGAAATTTATTGTCTCATGGTTTTAGTAGCTGTAAGACTGAGATCAGGCTATGCACGGTGGCTCATGCCTGTAATCCCAGCACTTTGGGAGGCTGAGGCAGTTGGATCACCTGAGGTCAGGAGTTCAAGACCAGCCTGGCCAACATGGTGAAACCTCATCTCCATAAAAATACAAAAATTAGCCAGGTGTAGTGATGCACACCTGTAGTCCCAGCTACTTGGGAGGCTGAGACAGGAAAATTGCTTGAACCCAGGAGGTGGAGGGTGCAGTGAGCTGAGATCACACCACTGCACTCTAGCCTGGGCAACAGAGCAAGACTTTGTCTCAAAAAAAAAAAAAAAAAAAAAAAAAAAAGTCTTGAGACTAGCATGGTATAGTTCCCATAATGGCTCTCTTCCTGGCTCATAGATGGCCACCTTCTCAC